CTTCGATCCTCTTTTTATTTGTGTCGGTGAAATATAGACCGGATCCGGAAGTCTTGCTTACTTCCTTTCGATTTTCGGGAATTCACGTATATCTCCTCATCCAATCTTCCTCTTTCTTTTTTTTAAAACAAATTCAATTTCCTGCGCTCATTTGTTTTTTTTTTTAAATTTACACGCGGCCATCTTATTCATTATTATCAATTGTTTCATTCCGACGGACACGCCCATCAACCAATCACGCGTTGTTTTTCCTCTTTTGTTTTTTCGAATAGTCGCCCCTTCAGATTTCTTTTTTTGTAAATATTTATTCAGTTGGGAAAACTGGAAACTATAATTTATAAATTGAAAAGAAGAGAATCAATTAGTATCAATTATTGTAAAAAAAGAAGGTTGAGAAAGAAAAAAAATTGAAGAGATAATCAATCTAAATTAAGTTAAATCCCTCTTATTATTTCTTTCTATTGGGAGGTCGAGAAAAATGAAAAGAAGAGAAAGATGAATAGGTGGAGATTGCAACAGAAAAAGAAAGGTGGTGGTGGTTTTTGAGTTATTAAGATGTTTTTTGATGGATGGAATTATTAAAAGCTTCCACAAAGAGAATTATTTTTTCGAATGAAATTGCCAGGTGATCTTTTTAACGTTTCTCATCATCATCATCATCTTCACTCGTTATTGTAAAGCAACACCACACACTATATACTAAAAGAATCGAGGGATTTTAGTGGGGCGGCCGCGACCGTTTCGGAAACAGTTGAAAAGAGCCGCGCTCGGAAGCGCCAACCCCCTCTGCCGGCGGCCGCCCTGTAATCATCTCAAATTACCGAATTAACCTACACACACACATATCTCTTTCTTTCTTCCTTTCAATCATTTCTACACTCTACGAATTCTTCAGCAAACATAATTAACAAAAACAAGTGAGGCGACATCTCTCGAATGGAAATTGAGAAACGAACGAATAAATAAATCAGTGCTCGGCTTCTATTTGCGTCCACGCAACGTTTTTCGGGCAATTGAGCGTGTCGTCGGAATCTTAATTTCTTTTCACCACATTTTCATCTCGCTTTGAGACTACTTCGGAAAAATCTTCATCTCTTGGGGATTCCAGCGCTTGAATTATCGTTATTTAATATTATCATCGTTTGCTTCTGCCTCTACTTCTTCTACTTCTGCTTCACCACCTAATGACAAACGCATGTTCGAAGCGCGACGAGAGAAATATCTCCGTCCTAAAGAGTTTTACACGTCGGGCTAATTTTAAAAGTAATTAAGTTACGCGTCGAGGATGTTAATAAAGCCATAACTCTGTGCACGGACGTCGCCAAACTCTTCATCCTTCTTATTCATAATCTTCTCTTGTTTCACGTTCATTTTCGTTTCCTTCGCTCGTTTTCATTCCTTCTCCTCCACTTTTTTTACCATTCCAAATAGTCGCTAAATCCGACTCGTTGAGCGAATCCTAAATGCGTACTTAGTGTATTTAACGAGGGCCTTTCCGTCTTCATCCTTCACATCCATCGCACACTTGTAAACTAACTATTTCACTTAATAACTAAACATCATAGTTTTCGAAAAAAAAAAACAAGTTGCAGTACGTTTAATACAAACAATTGAATGCTAGAATCGACTGAATTAACAAGTGCGCTGTGAGTTTGAGGAATGTTTTTTTTTTGTTAGGAGGCTTTGAGTTAATAAATAAAGTAGGGATCATCGTATAAATCAGGTTTTGAAGCTCACTCGCTCGGTCGAATGGACGGACAGAGATTTAATTAAGAAGTGGCGGAGGGCGGCTGTTGGTTGCTCCCTCCGCACGTGCAATAATTGAAAGAGTCATTGCGATTTCAGACAAATCTGTGTTATGTAGCTGTTGCTGTTGCTGCTGCAGTCCTAATGCGTATTAATGGTGTCGAAAATTGGGGTTGGGGCGTTTGTGGGGTGCACTTGTTTTCCTGATCGAAATTCTCATTTGTTTTTTTTTTCTCTTCGTTTGTTTGCAGACGGTCAGAGCCACCTGAATCTGTTCAACAATCGTCAGCAGCCGAAGAAGAAGCGAAAGTCGCGGACGGCGTTCACGAATCATCAGATCTTCGAGCTGGAGAAACGTTTCCTGTATCAGAAGTACCTGAGTCCGGCGGATCGTGACGAGATCGCGTCCAGTTTGGGTCTGACGAACGCGCAAGTCATCACCTGGTTTCAGAATCGCAGGGCGAAACTGAAGCGCGACATGGAGGAGCTGAAGAAGGACGTCGAAAGTGCGAAGATTCTGACGGCGCACAAGAGTTTCCTGGAGAACGTTCAAGATTTAGGGATACTGAAGAAGAAGGCGATTTTGGCGGCAGCCGCTTCTTCAGCAGCAGCAGGCGGCGGCGCCTCCTCAGATCAGAACGACGATTGCCCGAAGAACCTGATAGTCGGTCACGACAAATAGCTAGAACTCTTGAGGAAATTGTACAGGATCTGAAATGGAAGCGAACGTTAAAAGATTTCCTCAAGATATATGATTCACCACAACCATGTACAAAAACAACTATAGCAACCATAGCAACGAAACAACAACAACAACCCCTATCAACAGTAGCGTGTACATAGCTCCCTCTACCGACAACAACAATAACAACAAAGACTTTATAAACAAGTGAACAACAAAAACAAACGAACAAGTGTACATAAGTTTAGCGTTGCGTCCCCACCACCATCACTCCAGGATTCAAACTCAATCCTAACCTGTACATTATTATCATCAACAATTAAATGTAACTTTTAGTGTAAAGCGGAAAAAAACTGTTTTTCTTTGTCTTTCTGTCAAATTATTTATTTCGTCTGCTTCGACGGGTATCTGCAATATTATGTAGCGAGCGCTCGCGTTCCCCTTTTGTTTCATCAATTGTTTGCGTTAACAATCACGTGAAAATGGTAGAAAACAAACAAACAAAAGAAGAACGTTAAGAGCGCGTCGAGATTGTCTATAAATATGTATTATAAATATAATAATAATAATAGTAATAATAAAGTTATATATATATATAAATAAATAAATGTGCGTGATGCAAAAATGATTATATAAACATGAAATATTATTGTAATTATTTAAATGAATTGGAAAATTAGATCACGGCGACAGATGGAGCGACGATCGAATTTGTTTTTGTGTATTTAACAAAAGAAAATTGTTTTGTTTTCGTCGCTTCATCTGTTTCTAGGAATTTGTGAGTAGTGTATATGTATTATATATATATGTATATATATATATATTTAAAGAAAGAAAAAAACAAAAGAAAATCGATTGTTATTAATTAATAAATAATAATAATAATGATAAAACAATTGGAAAGATGTTTATAATATTCTAAAAACCAAAAAACAAAAAAAATTATCTAAATTAATAAAAGTAAATATATATATATATATGTGTATATTGAAATCGATGCGATTTTATTTTTCTTTTTGTTTTGTTTCGAAAACAAAATGTTCCTTCCTTCCTTTCTTGCATTCCTTACGAAAACAAAAGTAAGTAACGTCAGGTGACAAACGAAAAGCAATTAATTTTTTTAAAACAAAACAAAAAAAAAACAATAAATTGTTTTTTTTTTAATTATTATAATTATTAATTATAAAGTGTGCGGTGTAAAAGTAAATTGATAAATAATAATAATGACACGTGGGTCGGGCAAAAATTAATAAATCTGACGTTTCCATGGTTACTGTTATTATTATTAATTTCTTAAAGAGAGGTTTCAGAACGATGCAATCCTAATCACCATGGTAGTAATATAACAGTTGTGATTTCTGGTTTGTTGATTACGGGTCGTAGGTGAACGTGAAAAATCGGACTTTAACTAATTTTTAATTGTTCGTTCGAGGAAGAGATGGATGGATTAAATAGAAGAGATCTCGTTCTTCTTGTTTCGTGCGTGTGGTCGCAAGATTATTAGCGATGATACGCGCACTTTCCTGGTCTCCACTCTTCTCTTCTTCTGGTCCAAGCGGCAAATCGTAATTGGATGATCTCTCCTCCTTTGACTATCTCTCACTTGTACACTACTTTACACTCGTTTTCATCATCATCGTCTTCAATTCTCTAAGTTTTGCAATTAATGAATGGAATGGGAGGAGGAGAAGAGAAGAGAAGAGAGGAGAGAAAGAAAGAAAGAGAGGTAAAGTTTTTCTTTTTGTAGTTGTTGGTCGAGACCGAAAGAATTTTAATAAGCATTTAGCGCTCGGTGTCATTACTAAATGGATACGATCGTTCTCTCGCTTCGACTCGCTCACATCGAATCTCTCCTTCTCCTTCTTTTCGAGCGGTTTTCGGTGGTTCCGAAGCATCCATCCACCTCGAGATGATGACGATGAGGTGGAGAGGACTGAGGTGAGTGAGTGTGAACGAGTGAGAGAAGAAGACGATGCACAAGTCTTAGTCGTCGTCGTCGGTTGTTTTCAGGTTGGAGGTGCTTCGGCCGCCAGGGGGCAGGTCGGTAAATTGCCTGGCAGTGTTTTGTCACGGGAACAATTGGTCTCACACCTAGATCGCTTTGATCTCGCCGCCGACATAAATCTAACCACTTGCCTAATGAAAGCCCCACACACACACACTCACTCACTCACTCGCTCGCTCGATACACTCACTACATCTCAAAGAACCATTATCCTCATCATAGCGATGATCATGATAATCATCATCATCGCCGTATTAATTACATCATCATCATGTTTCCCTTAGCAACCCAAACAAATCCCTTCAATTGTTTTTTTTTGCTTCGCCATTTTTTTTTGCGCTCTCAGAGCCGCCTGAGAGCGTCAATTTTGATCCCGAAATGTGGACGGACGGGATGTGCCCGTCCCGTCGCATTTCCGCTTCCGGTCCCCAATCTATTTTCGACGTGTTGCGTAGCAACGACAACACAACGCTTGTTTGTGGATGTTATTAAAACGCGTAAATCATTCGCGTTTCATCATCATCTTCATCTAACCACCACCACTACTACCACGTAGTTCGAAACGAAAATAAATTGTAATTTATGAAGAACGTCTGCTTTTCAAAATACAAATACAAAAATATATATATATGGAAATTATGTAAACTATATTTAAAGATTAGTATAGAGGAGAAGTTGATCAAAGAGCCCTTTGGTTCGGGGCTTTATGAAACAAAAGAATACGACCAAAGTGCGACCTCTGCTTGTCGTAGGAGGCGACTAAATGAGGGATTTCAATTTTTTGTTTTTTTGCAAAGAAAAACAAACTCTTGCGTTTAATTTATAGCCCGTGTCGGTGTCCAGGTGAGAGTGTGTGTGTGTCGGTTGACGTGGAAATTAGAGGGCGGCAAACGAAGGGTTGTATGTAATTTGAAATGCACCCATTTGTCTAGTTGCGGCGTTACGTTACGTTACGTTGCGATACGTAACGCCGTCTCCGTCTGACGCATCGTGAGCGCCCTTAACTTTGTCTCTTACTTTGACGACGATCATGATGATGATGATGGGCATCGTCATCACTAATTGCAGCACCGGTCGCCTCAAAGGAAGAAACAAAGAAAAAGAGAGAAAAAAAAAGAAGGTGCCAAGACTGGACCACCCTAACTTAACGCGCAGCACACACCTTTACCATATATATATATATATTCTTTTATTCTCTCCTTCTTTCCGATCTTCTAATCATTTCACGCCGCACCGCACTTATCCCTTAATAGAATAGACACATTTCAATAATACGACGTTTCGTTACTCTGTCCGCCTGTGACACTAATATCTTTTTTCTCGTCGAAGCAACCCTTGCTTCCATCCCAGAAATTAACCCTTTTATGCGTGCGCGTCGCCCAGGAAACTCTTATCTAAACATTCTTTGTTACCCTAGCAACAACGCGTATTGCAATTATCTCACGGCAGCCACAATTAAACAAACAAAACGAGACGAATTTGTTTTTTTTTCCTATAATCAATATAATATGGCTGACAACAAAATGGCGATCGCGTCACTTTTCGTTTGAAATTGTTTTGTTTCTTTTATTTCAAGAAACAAAAGCAAATTAAGATGAGAAATAAAAAAAAATGAAATAAATTCGTTTAATAAAATTAAAAATTAACAGTTTTTTTATGTTATCGAAAGTCCGGTTTTCACAATATATATATATATATATAAATCGGGCCCGAATTAAGAATCGATAATTCATAGGGAATTACGAAACGCCGGATTTAAGGTAGTGGAGAGAAATCAAAGGCGGCGGCGGCGGTGACTTTGTACTCTCATTCAACTGTTTCTCGTCTCTTCAATACATTTTTTTTTGTATATTATTTTATTTAACTTATTATAGTTTTTATTAATTTTTAATTTTGTTTCTTTTTGTAATTTTGGATTTATCGCACGGTTCGTTTCTTCGTTTATATGCAAATTTACGACCCTCTTTCACTTCCTTCCTTCCACTCACCCTCTCTCTCTTTCAAACGATAATTACGCACACAAACAACACTCTGATTCTGGTCAAGTAGTTGTAGTAGTAAAAGAATGAAAGAAAGGAAGAAAGAAAGGAAAGAAAACAACGAAATTAGTCGGAGAGAACACGTAAAGTACGAACGCAAACACGTTAATCATAGGTAAAACATGGAAATGAAGGTGAGGGTTTTTTTTTTGATAAAGATTAAAGAACGAAACGAGTGCCCTAATTTATGAAATAACGAAGAAAATACGCGCGTTAGAAATGAGACGTAGTTTATCGAGTGTTAAAGTTATAATTAGATTTAGTGCATAGTTTGTTTAGTTTACAAATTAATTCGTAATTAATCGTCGTTTGTTTTAATTTTCAAGATTGTTTTTTGTTTATTGATAAATAATGCGTAACAAAAGAATAAATCTAATGTTACCATGGTAACTATTATATTATTAATTCAATCAATCTATGATATGTTTGGAAATTCACAATGAAAATTGTTAAATTTTTGATAAAACAAAACTTATTAGTAAAATAAGATTAAGAAATTGAAATTATTATTAATTAGTTCTTAATGGAACTTTTTTTTAGTTATCATCAATAACAACAACAACAAAATCTATTCTATAAAAGTTGAGAAATGTCAATTTGAAAATGAGATTTGTTCACTCAAAACTAAAGATTTGAATACAAATTCGTGTTGTCGTATTAGTACACTAAGTGTGTAATGTAAATGATTTATGTTTAGAAAATTGTAAGCAATATAATTAGAGAAAAAAACAAATTACAAATTGTTTCCACTATGACCACTAGATCACTTAAAAAATTAGTTCCACAAATTTGAATTTTGTTAGTACACTAAGTGTGCCATGTATGGAATCTCTAAATTATAGATTTGACAAAAAAAAATGATCACTCAAAATTGGCTCCAAACATTTTCAAACAATTTAGAGTTTTCGTATTTATGTTTAGACAATTCTCAGCAATAGAATTAGAGAAAAAAACAA